ACCAGAATCAACAGGGAGAAACCTATCTCTCCAGCTGGTGCCTTACACCCAGACTTCTAACCTCCTGAAATGAATTTGTTATTACTCATTTTTGTTATAGCAGCACTGTAGAATTAAGACATATTCCCTTATAATAGTGAGAAACGTCATCACTGCTTTCTCTAATCCAAGGCAGTTTATGTTTTACACAGGGTGACTCCACAGATGACTCACAAGATTACACAAGTCACACAAGAATGAACAATTCTTCACTTAATAGTTATATATTTCCTTTAATGATTATAGTTTATTCATAAAAAATGATACTGATTTGTAGTTTTTAAGAATCCTATAAAGTTTCCTTTAAACATTTACTTAAGCAGCAGAAGAAATTAAGTTAAAGACAACACTAAATTTAAAATAATGGGTCACATAGAACAAACAAATAGAGTAATGACTGAATTTTTGTAGACACTATTTTCCCAAGTTTCTTTCCCCTTTGTGGTTTCTATTAAAGAAAATAATAATGTCTTAAATTGTTTATTTGTGTATGTGTATTATGGGCTGAATTCACACACACACAGAAAGAGAGAGAGAGAAAGTGTATTGAGTTTCCTGGAACCTATAAACACGACCTTGTTTATAAATAGTCTGTGGAGATGTTATCAGTTGACATATTAACCACACCAGTAAGTACTATCTTTCTTAGGTAGAGTCCTCATCTAACATGAGGTTTGTCTTATAAAGAAGGATGACCGGTATATAAAGAACAGCTATGCGATGACTGCAAGCCAACGGACATCAAGAACTGCCAGGAGCCACTAGAACCTAGGAGAGAGAGGCACAGGACAATTTTTGAATCTTCAGTGGGAATCAACATGGATGACACCCTGATTTGGGCTTCTAGACCTTAAAACTGTGATATTATAAAGTCCTGTTCTTTCAAGTTACCACTTTTTTTATATATATATATACATATATGACAACCTTAGGAAATGAATACAGGGTGTTTTATCTTAAGTCACAACAAAGTAGATGAGGAAATGATCAGTCAATGACTTCATCAATAAAACCACACGAAATCAAAGAGATTTCTGGATTGATATTAAGAAATGCTTGAGGCTATATCCCTTTTTAAAGAGAATCCTAGCCAACTGGATGAACTTGAGCTTTGTATCATGACAGAAAATGGACTTGAGGACTATGGCTTTGGGGTTTTTTGGGTTGGGTTTGTTTATTTTTTTTTCACACTGATTTTTTTTTCTTTTCTTTTTAAAAGTAAGACATAGAGACTGTAATCATTCAGTCTTTAGGTTGATTGACAGGAAGAACAGATCTCTTCCCGCGAACTCAGCTGCCAGAGATGTTCCCACTTGTTCAGCAGCATGTCAGGCCCAGAATGTACAGTAAGGCCGGAAGCTGCAGGTAGCATGTGTTCTCAGACACACACCTCACAGACACACAGCATCTCAACAGCTCGGGAGACTCTTCCCAGCGGCAATGATGAGCACAGTGCATTGCCAGAAGAAGGCTTTTTCCTTTACAAGTGAATGAATTCAGCAAATTCTCTAGAAATATGGAAAGTTAAAAAAAAAAAGTTGCACCAAGGTCATAAAGCTTTTTTAATTTTTTTAAACATCAGTTAAAAATTTCATAAAAACAAAAACAAAACCAGAAGAATCAATTTACAAACAAATAAGCAGAACAACCATGTTATTTCTTCACAGCAACAGTAGGGGACAGAATACAATGCCTGCAAACTTCTGAGGATAATGGTTCTAAGAAAATAATGCTAAAGAAGTTCTTTAAAAATTCTAAGTCATTGTTGTTGTTGCTGTTAGGTCTCATCTGTTGGCTCTGTGTTGTAGCCACCTCTGAGAATGACTGAGCAAACCCTTGCCCTGTCCGGTACAATCCTCACAATCTCTGCTTAATTGCATCTGTTACTGTAGTCACTGGGTCAATCCTCTTTAAGGATCTTTCTCTCCTTCACTGGCCCTATTTCCTGCAAACATGATATCCTTTTTAAAGAATTGATTCCTTCTGCTAACTTGAGCTCTGGTAACCTAGTGGGTCAGGAGTTAGACTACCAATTCTAACTCAGCTTGTGTGTATTTAGTGACTGTGACAGAGAAGGATGGACAATTGTTGGAAGCAGATTTTCCCACTGCTGTATGTCTCTTGGTTTCCTGACGTCTGCCTCCACGGATCTTGATTGTGGAACAAGTAGAAAGAAGTTATTGACAATTTAAATATTTTCTCCATTTATCATGATGTTTACTCTTGGTCCAGAGGTGAGGATTTTTGTTCTGTCAATGTTGAGCTATAATCCATATTGCAGCCATTGTTCTTCAGCAAGTACTTTGAGTCTTTTCGTTTTCAGCAAGCAAACTTACATCATCTGTGTATCTCAGGTTGTTGATGAGTCTTCTTTAATCCTGATGCCACTTTGTTCTTAATCTAGCCCAGCTTCTTACATTATTTGCTCAGCATATTGAATATATGTGATGAAAGAATACAACCATAACACATATAATTTATGATGTGCCTGATACAGGCCGTGTTCTTTGCAATTATTTGCTATGTATCGGAAAGCTGGACAATGACTAGGGATGATGGAAGGAGAACTGACGGCTCTGAGCTGTGGTGTTGGAGAAGAGTGTTGAATATACCATGGACTGCTAAGAAAATGAACAGGAATGTCCTAGAGAGGTTGAAGCCAGGCTGCTCCTTGGAGGCTAGGATTCTGAAGCTTCGTATGACATACTTTGTCTGACATGTGTTGCATGTAACATGTAACAACAACAACAAACCAGGCAGTGTTTCTTTGTTCTGTTTGGACAACTGCGTCTTGGTCAATGTACCGATTCCACTGGAGCCCAACTTCTGGCCCTTTCCTGTGGATTTACTGCTGCAGCCCTTTTTGGATTTGTTGTATCACACTATTTTGGAATGGACCTAAATATGAGCATATTCCAGTAGGTTGGTCATATTTCTTGTCATAGATGATTATGTCCAGGGCTGCATATATTTATTGAAACACCTCAGTTTGCTTTCTTTTAATTCCTGGAGACTTATTTTTTGCCAACACCTTTATTGCAGCCTGAGCTTCTTTCAGTATCATTGATTCTTCTTCCCCACTTTTAGCAATCTTTGCTTTATTTTTATAACAAATAATATATGGTTTAATGTAATCTATTCCACTCTCCTTCTCCACTTCCTGGAGGTGGTCACTGTCCTAGAGGAGGTATGTACTTTTTTCATCTCTATCTTCTATGCTGCTAGTAAAATGTCCATGGAACTATAAACATTAAGTAATATTGTTTTGAAATTTTTTTCTTTTTTAAAATTCATTGTTGCACATTATATTTTCCTCTCCTCATCCTCCAGCCCACTCTGCAATGCAGCCCTTGTTCCAGATTGTTGTCATACATATAATGCCTAATCATGTATTTCTTTCAGACAATTCTTGCCTTCATCTGTTTTATTTTTTTTTAATTTTTAAAAATTTTAATAATTAAGGTTGCATAGCGGAATGTACTTGGGGCGGTGGGAGGGGTGTGGGGGGATTGTGTACCAGCGAGGGAGTGTTTCTTTTACTTTTCAAAGAGAGGAATGAACTGGGGCGGAGGGGGGGTGGGGGGCAATGGCTGGGTGGGGAGAGAAGTGCAGCAATGAATGAATGGAATTCAAAAAATCTCTGTAAATGTGCATTAAAATTATTATAAAGTTTTTTTAAAAAAATACCCAAAAGGTAAAAGTTACAGAGGTAACTTGTGGTCGCTGTGAAGCTGAACACTGTGACACTGATGTGTCAAATGAGATAATGGTTACCCACGGCGGACAGTGCTTGGTGGAGCGCCCGGCTAAAACAAGCTTGGAAGCAGGAGTGGCAATCACTTCCGTAAATAGCCTGTCTCCAGAAACCCTACAAACATGGAGAAAGGATGAAAGTCACACAACTGTCGAGGACTTTTGTTCACAGGGTTGCTATGAGTCGCCTATTACTCAACGGCACTTAACAACAACAACAACCCAAAAAGGAATTCATTCTCCATGAAGAAATAAGTTATTCCTGTAATAATCAGTGTAAATAATTACTTCAGAAAAGATTATCATCTAGATGCATAGTGAACAGACTGCAGTGTGAGTAATGAAAATCTGACCAAACAGCCTGCCTTTGGGCACTTGGGGAGTTAGCTGTACAGCTTACACGAGTTCTTGCTTGGGCCAGAGAAGCTGCATATCACTTATGTTTATAAATCTCTCCTCAGTATTCTTGGCCAACTTCTCTGCTATCAGTTTATTCAAGGCGGGGCTGGGCTGAAACAAGGGGTTCTGGGCATCCTATTCATACCACTCATCCAAAATGAACTTTGCTGCTTGATGTTTCTTGTTGTTGCTCCTTCTAGGAGAGAGGGATCTGCAAAGCCTATTCCCCTAGAGCATGCAGCTAGAAAACCAGCCCATCAAGTCACTAATCTAAACAATACTTGAAGGAGATAGTGACATTCATTCAGGCAAAACACACACTTGAAAACTACTCCCAAGATATAAAAAGTCAGAATGGTTCCCTGTTGAACTTGGCTCTTCCTCCTCTTTTTTCCTCCTGCCTCTTACTAACCTCTATGTCCAAGGTTTTATTCTGTGGAAATAAGATACATGAACAGAGAGAGTAAAATAAAATGTCTCGTATTTTAGATTAGAATTCTGGTGCTGTAATTTGTAATGTGATGTTCTACTAACCGAAAGTCTGCCTGGCTCTGGTGGTTCAAATCCATACCCGGTTCCCTAGGAAAAAGAGGGCTAGTCTCCTTGCATTCAGATTTACAACCTTGGAAACTGAGAAAGGGCTGATTTGAGTAAAGATCAACTGGATAGTAGTGAAATGACAAGTCGGTGGTGTTTTGTTTTATTTTAGTTTCACATTTCACATAGAGGGAGAAATTGAAATGTTTTCAAACATAGATTTTAAAGATATATTAAATTATCACACATGGTTCTTTGTGCCTGGGCTCCTTTCACTTCAGGCTGGGTAAGGTGATTTGATCAATCAGGGCAGAGAAAGCCCTGCCCACCTTCTCAGCTCCAAAGTACAGGTCCGTGTTTACCGAAGCCTGGGAACCTGAAATTGAACAAACAGGAGAGGTTTTCAGAGAAGGGCACCCAGACGTTCTCAAGCAGATCTTTATAAAGCTCTAGTACTGGAGAGAGATAGAACCTATCTCTCCTCAGTTCCTGATGACATTGTCCTTTCCCTAAGCTAGCTAGTGATGAAGATGACTGTTATTTACCCTGAGTAACACTAGTAATTCATCCAGCCTGTGGAGTTTTAAAGGGCTTCTTCTCGTGACACCTAGAACAGATACGAGTTGCCAAGAAGCTCACCCTAGAACTGTAGGTCTCAAGTTCCAGTGTCTATCAGAATCACCCAAAGCAGATTACTAGGTCCATTTTGCAAGCAGGAGTGGCATCCACTTTCTAAACCACATGCCTCTGGAAACTCTATGAACTTTGATGAAAGACGATAGTTATAGAAAGCCTTCAGGCCTTTTGTTCATAGGGTTGCTATGAGTCATGCTTGACTTGATGGCAATCAACAACAAGAACGACTAAGTGAATGATTCAGCATGTCTAGCAAGTTATCAGGTGATACTGATGATGTTGGAACAGGGATCACACTTTCAGACCCTTGAAAAGATGGACAGACACAGTGACGGTGGCAATGGGCTCACGTGTTGGAGAGGTGGTGAGGATGACACAGGACAGGGCAGGTTTCAGACCCATTGTTCATACGGTCGCTATGAGTCCTACTCAACTCGACAGTACTTAACAACAACAACTTAACAGCGACTCAATGAATGGTTTGAGTAGTCACCTATGACCTATTTGAAAAGGGACTGTAATTTAGAATGACCTGCAAATTTGGAAGTTATTAAACAAAAGTCTGATATGCATAATAGGCTAACAGTGCTTTTCTAGAAATTAATCTTAGAAAAACATATTTATAAAGGAATGCAAAGAAGTACGGGAGCTCTGGTGTCCTATTAGAAAGGAAGTGCGCTGCCAACCCTAGGCAGGCACAATCCACCAGCAGCTTTAGCTGGACAAAGACGGGCAGTCACCTCCTGTGCAATTCATGGCTTCTGAAAACCAGATGGAGGATCAGCTATGTGTTGCTTGTGACTCAAGGGTACACAACAACAAAACCACAAAGAAATATGGCACAAGGATACTCACCAAGCACTTTAGTGATAATGAAAAAGAAATGAAATCAACTAAATTATAGATGAATACATACTTTCTGGCATATTTATACCCTATGATCTTCATTGTCAAGTGTCTAAAACATATGCCAAGTGAAAAAAAAAGTCAAGGCATACATATATGCATACAAAATATTGAATTGTTAACAGTGGTTACCTCTGACAAAACAGAAGATGAAGGTGGATGGAATGGTGGTGAAATGATTTTTAAAATTCATATAATTCTGCAATTTAATTTTATAGTGAGTATATTCATAACCTTAGTTATGTAATTAAACAACAGAAAAAAGATCATAGGTAATTAAAAAAGGAAAGGTATACTTTCTCCCTGGTGGATTCAAACACCCAGAAAAGCATGACATTTGGGTTAACAATGCAACTCCCTGTGGATAACATCACCAGAACTCCCTAATATAATATACAGTCCATACAGACAGACCTAAGGAGCTGTGAGACAAAAAATACCTATATCATCAGGAATCCAATCACACTGAGAAAAGAATTCACTTGAATGTCATTTTTAAAAAGTCTGTGGTCTCTTAATAACTCAGGGATGGGAAAGGAGACTACCAGATATGTTGAGGTTAAAATTATAAGACCCAGGATGAGATGGGTCAATGCAGTGACTGGGAGGTAGGTGTGCCAGAGACAGTTACACTGACTCAGGATAGGGCAGAGATCAGAGCCATGGTGCATAGGGTTACTATGAGTTGCAGGTGAGTCAATGGCACATAACAACAACAACAACAACAACTTCACTTCCTTCTCACTATTGATTCTCACAGTGTCTAAAAAGAGAGATTGCAGAGACAGGTAAAAGAATTTTGGTAGCATTTTCAGAGAAAAGATTAATCCAAAATGGAGAGAAAATCATTTCATCAAAAAGTTAAACCAAAGGACTATGTCCTTAATTTTCATTACAGAAGAAAACATTATTGCGCTCTTAATCTTTGCTGGGAGTTTTGATCAAATAGTGTGCTACTGATTTTCAACCAAATGTTTGGAAATTAAATAGGTTTGGGGAATTCCTTCTACATGACTTTCTCTTTTCCATTAAGCTTTCAAGGTCTCTTGAAATCCTCTTATCCTACATCTTGATTCTGCATCACTCTAATTCAGCACATCAACGACTATCCAAAGCTGACCATCAGGTTTGTTGGATTAGGTATTAAACCTTTAATGAATGCAAAGTTCATCTTAATTTGCAACATGAGTGGGCTTTTAGGCAACTCTGAATTTCAAAGCGATACTCAGCTTCGACAACAATCACGCCACCAGGTGAGTATATTGACATTTTGTCTGAGTAAACCTTAGCAAGCTACAAGCAGGAGATATTTTTAATTCTCTCAACATTCTTCAAACTAAACATCAATAGCAAAAACCAACTTGGAAGAGTAAAATGGGGAACACCAGTGGTGCGGTAGGGGGAACTGACAGCCTAGAGAATAAGGAGTTAGACTGCCGGTCCTTGAGAGCAAGATGGGCAATCTCCTCCCATACAATTCACAGCCTCTGAAAATCCTCGGAGGGTCTGCTGTGAGTGGGCTCAGACTCCATGGGAATGAACTGTCTTTTAGTTGAGTGGTGCCATGGTTCCGCACTCGGCCACCAACTGGAAGGTAGATAGTCTGAATCCACTAGCCGTCCACAGGAGGAAAGACCTAGTGACCTGCTTTCATACAGCTCTACAGGCGAGGAAATGAAACTATGGAGACAGTTCTACCTTTTCCTATGGGGTCTGTCTGAGCTGGAATCAGCTCTTAGACATATCCACAACAATAAAATTATCAGACACTTCCTCCTGTTGTTGGATGAGGCAGTGACTAGTCAAAAATAAAATAACCCACTCATTCATTGCCATCAAGTTGGTTCTGACTCCTTGCTGACCCTCCATTGGGTTTTCCAGACCACAGATGGCACAGGTGGAAAAACGTTCATCTTCCTCCCGGTTGGTGGATTCTGACTGTTGGAGGAATCTGACCTTTGGGTTAGCAGCACAACTGTCTACAGATTACATCACAAGAGTGCTGGAGAAACAAAATAAAGGTAATCTGTATATTTATTTTGTTTCCCTTTCCAAACTATCATCAGTATGCTTACACCTAGCATGTAGCATGCTGTTGATCAGCATGAAATTGGAAGTCCGTAAATATATAGATTAAATGAATTTAATCTATACTCTTACTTAATGCTGTTAAGTCAGAACTGAGTCATAGCTAAGTGTCCAGTAGGTTTTCAGAGGCTGTAAATCACATGGGTTAAGTTTGCCCATCACGCTCCATTGAGTCACTGGTGAAGTCAAACCGCAAGAGAGGCACTACCTTCAGGTTAGTAAGCACAACTCTTTTCGGACTTGACCATCTAATGAGATGTTGGATAAAAAGATCTGTGAACAATACAAAAGAAGTCCCGCCGGAAAAAGAATTCACTTGGCACTTATTTAGTACAATGTTGGTGAACACGAATGGATTATATAATTGTTGTTGTTGTTGTTGTTATGTGCCATCGAGTCGCCTGCGACTCATAGCGACCCTATGTACAACAGCCCTAAACTCCGCTCTGTCCTGTGCCAATCGCACTGTCTCTGACACTCCCACCCCAATTATCCCAGTCACTGCATCAATCCACCTCATAGAGGGCCTTCCTCTCCTGCGCTGTCCCTCCACCCTCCCAAGCATGATGTCCCTCTCTAAGGACCGGTCTCTGCTCACAACATGTCCAAAGTAAGTTAGATTAGATAATATATTTTTATAATCCATACTGACAACAGCCACGCAGACTTGGCTTACTAGGATCATTGTTAACACCACACTGAGGAAGGAAACAAGCTAAATATCTGGCTGAATCAGAAGTGACAATGCTTAAAAATGGAAACAATAAGCAGGAAAATAAACACAGAGTCTCATGAATAAAGGCCTAAAAGAAACAAGACTATTTTGACATCGTATCAGCCAGTATTTATTGAAGCATCAAGGAGTATAAAACAATATAGTAACAAAAAGAGAAAAGATGCACCTTGACTCTTACCATGGGCACATTCATGCAGTAAGAATGTCAATTCATACAGAAGCATCACAATGCAGACTCTAATGAGTACATTTTCTGAGGTGTTTATATTTTTAAGAGTCTCAAAATTATCAAACTTACTGCCATTGAGTTGGAACCGACTCAAAGATGGCACTCCAGAGAGATTCCAGAGGCTGTAAACCACACAGGAGGAGACTGCCCATCTCTTTCACATGAAACAGCTGGTGGATTTGAATTATTTGGGTTGGCAGTTCAAATCTTTGTCCTTTCATCTCTACACGTTATTCCATCATCTGAACCCAGAAACAAACTTACGCTTTCACGATTTTCCTTTTAATACTGTCTGGTCTCTATGATACAACTTAGGGACCTATCATGATTTAGTGGTAAGAACTTTTGCTGCCAGCCCAAATGGTTCAAATCAACCACCTTCTCCTTTGGAGGAAGATAGATAATCTCTTGCCCTGCAATTAATTGCCACTGAAAACCTACTGGAAGGTCAGCTATACGTTGGCTCTTACTCAAAATTCACTGGACCGATAGGTAACATCATGGCGGTTGGAGAAGAGATTGAAACTGTCAACAATTTCATCTTACTTGGATCCATAACCAACACCCTTGGTAGCAGCAGTCGGGAAATCAGGAGACACATTGCATTGAGAAAGTCTGAAGAAAGAACTTCTCCAAATTATAGAGGACTAATGATGTCAGTTTGAGGATGAAGGTGTGTCTGATTCAAGACATGGTCTTTCTAATCATTTGCTATTTATCTGAGAATAGGAAAATGAATATCGATGACAGAAGAAAAATACTGATGCCTTTGAGTTGGAGAAGAACACTGAATTGGTGAAGAATTGATGTCTTTGGTGTAGGAAAAGAGCACTGAACATCCCCCAGACTGCCGAAAGAACAAAGAAATATTTCTTGGAGAGGGTGGAGCCAGAGTACTCTTTGGAGGCAAGGGTGATGAGGCTTCACTTCACATACTTTAGGCATGTTGCTGGGAGGGGCATTCCTTGGAGAAGGCCATGATTCTGCAAAGGGTCGAGGGTCGGCAAAGGAGAGTAAAGCCCACAACCAGGTGGACTGACATTGTGACTGCTGCAATGGGCTCTAGTGTGTCAGGAAGTGTGAGGATGGCACTGGATAGGACAGAGTTCAGTTCCATTGTTCATAGGGTTGCTATAAGCCACACTCAACTCAATGGCAACAATAACAACTCAAAGTTAATAACAACAATAAACATAACTTTACTTATAGTAGATATTTCTATGTGGCCCTTTATATGTATGTATGTATCACTTAAATACATAAAAACCTTTTTGCTTTAGGTATCAAACTACATAAATGTCATGAGTTTAACTATCTTCCAAATAGTTGTGAGCCAACCTCACTACTATGGTTTAGAGATCAGCACCTTTCATAAGCTTGTTAGGAGAAACAAAAACAAAAAAATGAAAATCAGATGATGATGTCAAAGACTAAAGAAACTTCTCTTTAAAGCTCATTTTTTAAAATATAAATTGTTTCCTAAAGAAGGTCAAGTGGATATTGACTTTGCTTTCAATACTCATCTTGACCCCAAGGAAGTTTGAATGGAAATACAGTGGGTGGAAGCTTGTATGTCAGCCTAATAAATATGAAGACTCGGGAACAAAGAGTTCTTTTCTGCCTGTGCCTTCGTCTGAATATGCTTCTGACATCTTTATGGACTTGTTTCTTCTAATCTAAAAATTAGATGTCCAACTCCATTCACAGAAGAGTTCTTTAAGCCATCAAATAATTACTTCTCCAGCTGGTCTGTACAAAACTGTCATTATTTCTGGGGCATCCACTCAACAGACATATTCTCAAATAGAGACCTGGGAGAATGTTAGCCTTTATTTTTATTACACATCAGAAGACAATTGGCGCAATAGAAAAGATCTTAGGCTTTCTTAAAGAAAAAAAAAGGGATATATAGATTCTGAAGTAATAAAAACATTCTTGCTGGAAATGAGATTATGTCATTAGAAATCAGAATAAATAGTAAAAAAAACATTAAAAATGAAAAACTTTAGAAATTAACAATGAGTCATATGTTATGATTAAAATGATGATGATGGTAATATCTAGACCTTGTATGAGTTTGTTGTATACCATTGATTTAATCCCAACTCATTGTGACCCTGTAAGACAGAGAGACGTGTCCCACTGGCAGGATAGACAGCCTCCTCCCATAAAGACTACGGCCTCAGAAACCCAAGGGAGAGTGACTGTGAGTCAAAACTATGAGTCAGCTGTGGCTTTGGCTTTTTGTTTGGTTAATCTTTAGAGAAGTTTTCTCCTGCCGAATGGGTTCAAATCACTGTCCTCTGGGTGGTTAGAAGACAACTGCTTAACCATTTTTCCACCAGAGAAAACATAATTAGTTCCCCTCTTAGAAAGCATTACATTTCTCCTTTTAAAAAAGTTCCATAAGGTTTTCCAATTATATATGAGTTTGGGCTACTGATAATAATAGTTAAATTAAAAAAAATAATAAGCATTAGGGGATCTTGCTGCTATTGCAAAGTCTGAATCTCTCTGGTAGTTCAATTCCTTCCAGTGGGGGGGAAGACGGACAATCCCTTCCTTTGGAAACAAAACAGAGGGTCAGTTGTGGTTTGGTTCCAACTCTACCACACTGAGTTTGAATTTTGATATTTCCCTGGGTGACACAACAGGTTAAGCATTCAAGTACTGGTTGCAATGCTGAGGGCTTGGACTAGCCTTACTTAAGAGTACTTCAAGCCTGGAAATCTACTTTCAAAATGTCCCAGTCTTGAAAACCCTGTGGAATACTCCTACTCTGTACAAGCAGGGCCACTCCTCAGGAGGTGGGAACTGATTTGACAGCAACCATCAACAACATTGACCATGGGGCAGGTGCCATGCTAAGGTCTTCCATGGTGTATCACCTCCAATGTTCGCAATAACTTGATGAATCAGGCAGTTAAAAGATGTAGAGACCTAAGTTCAGAGATGTTACTGACATCCAAAAGATTCAGAACTTGGACTGTTACTCACTAGAAGAACTGTAGCTGTTGGTTTGATCTGACATGTTAGGAAATCATGTTTTAAAAGACAGCCTTAAGTCTTGGCCTCTGGTGACTGTGAAAACCTTACCTGATGTCATTTTAAGAGTGAAAGCGTCCATACATTTTGACAGGAATTCTTGCAAGTCTTCTTCCCCCAACTCATCCTCCCTCTCTTCAGTATTAGCAGTCTTCCTTCTTTCAGCAGATGCCAGAGCAGAACTGCTCATTGCAGCAGGGACAACCGGGGGGATGTCCCGCAGTGATCTCTCCTGAGTACCCAGAAAGGTTTCCTTCTGCGTCTTGTGGGCATGGCTTTGTTTTCTGCTGCTTGGCCTTGACCTTTCCTGCAAACTGCCTTGTGATGATTCTGGGTTCAGTGGAGCTCTTTCTGTATTAGTCTGATGTTGGTCATTTCCACCAACTACAGAGGCATTAAGAACAGGATTCCCTCCTGAGCCCTCCTCAGCATTGCTCTTAACCTGGGAAAGATCATCTTTCCTCCAAAACCGTTCAGCCAAAGAATGCTCACTCTTCAAAGCTGTGTTCTGACAGGAAGAAGATGAAGGAGGAAGTGGCTGCAACAACACTGCCTAGAAAAGGACAAGAGTGTTTATGAAGACATTAATATAGTCATCTGATTGTTCTGTATGCCCATTAAATTTTAATATTCTAACAGAAAATGTGAATACCAAGCTTTACCTCCCATCCCCTAAACACATTGTCATAATTTCCCCCCTTTATGTTGTCAATTCTCTGTCAATGTAAAACTCTTTACAAGAGCTGGCCAAATTGTTATAAAACAGGACTGACATCGGGTTTGGGGGAAAACTAAGAAAAGAGGGTATAAATAATGTACTCTGCACTGAAACAGATGAGGGAGAGAACTGTTTAAAAGGGATATATGATTAAGTATTATTTGTGTGGAAAGAGTTCAGAACAAGAGCTGCATAGTAAAGTGGACTGGGGGGATGGGGGGAGTGTATAACAATGAAATAACTTTTTTTCTTCTTAAAGAGAAAGCGAACTGGTGGGGGGGAAAATGTGCAACAATGAACGTATGGAACAATGAACGTATGGAAGTCCAAATTCTCTATAATCTTTAATTAAAATATCAATTTAAAAAAAGAGCTGGCCAAGTTCATATTCTAAAACATCCAAAAGGATTATCACCAGGAATTTTGGGGAAATTTTGTTAAAGAAAGCCCAGCTTCTAGAAACATCTTAAGGACTTTCGGGGAAATATTTATGTATATGTGTAATTGATAGATGAATATTGTTATGAGAATCCACGTTCATAATGATCTATGTAGACAGACTTGTTGTGAGGGGTCTCATAATTCATGGGTAGGAAATCTCAGAGGGCGTGCTCCCTGCAAAGCTCATTCTTCAAAGGGCCCTTTTATAGACCCCTGTTGGGGGAACGTGTCCCAAGAGTCCTTTAAAGGTCTGTGGTCCAAATTACCTTCTTAATAACACTCAGATACTGTTTCCTTTTTCACTGTGTTGACATTTTACTGAAATCGCAAAAGCAAGAATAAAGCTACTGGTGCTTAGCACAAATCAAGGTAGCATCAGCAGACAGTCTATATGATCTTCACCACCATGAAAATGCAGTCCAGGAAAAAAGTGCCAGTTTCACACTTGATGGAGTAGAAAATGTATTAATAATAACGACGCATGCATTTTTTTAATATTGTATATGATAGAGTGGTAAATGTGCCTTAAATGCTACTTTCCCCCCCTCTACTCGGAGATCATCTTCATTATAAATTATGTATTGCGGTGGTGTTGATGTTCTTAAATATTTCTGATGCATGGGGAAATACATAACTTGATTCAAGGGAAAGCTCTTATGTAAAAAAAGACTGATAAATTATGGTTATTCAGAAAGGTATTTGAAAGTTGTTTTTACAAATATAAACAAAATGAGACTGTTGTTGCAAGGAAAACAATTAATGGTACTTTGTACAAATTATAACAGTTGAGCTTTCAAACACAAAATTCTAACTTTAGAGAACGTGTGTCTTCCTAAATTTGACTGCTTTCTAATCTATAAAGATGCTTTTGGTGAGAGTATTGTTGTTCACGGCCATTGTGCTGGTTCAAACTCAGAGTGAGTCTGTGTACAACAGAATGACACACTATCTGGTCCTGCATCAGCTTCACAGAATGGGGATATTGGAGCTCACCATTGAAGCTGTTGTGCAAATACATCTCATTAAGTTTCTTACAAATAGATAATTGATTTTAAGTGTGTGTACACACACACACACACACACACACACACACACACACACATGCTGCTGTTGAGTACTGTCAAGTCAGAACCCACCCATAGCTGACCTTCCAATGAGTTTTCAGAGGCAGTTAATCCCATGGGAGGACATTGCTCATATTTTTCCAGTGGAGCTGCTGGTGGCCTCGAACCATGTGCCTTCAGGATTGCAGTGCCGCTTTTTGCCACTAGACCATCAGAGCTCCTGGTAGCTTAGCTGTAAAGAGTTGCACTCCCAGTCCAAAGACAAACAGTTCAAATCCACTAGCTTCTCTAAGGCAGAATGTGCTGCTAACCCAAAGGCTGACTCTCTTCAGTGGTTCAAATTCACCAGTGACGCCTTTGGAGAAAGATGGACAATCTCCGGCGTGATTTACCACCTCAGAAACCCAATGGAAGGTCAGCTATGAGCGGGTCTCCATCTCAACAACAATGGCTTTTTGAAGCAAAGATAGAATCCACAAAAGCAAAAGCTCCTTAAGGTCTTCAAGGAGCTTGAGACCCAAAGTTAGGAACCAATGTTGTAAAGAACGTCTTCAGGCCACAGGTCTCCCTTGGCTGGAAGCTGGAAGCCACCCTTCCAAGTTGACCAGATAGATGGTTAGTGCCTCGTACCTGGAGGTCCTGTCCCATCTGCTGAATCCTGGCCCAAAGGCTTTCCTGGTTGGTTGTGAGCTGGTGAATCTTTGTTTCAAATATGCAACTTTTTTCTTCCTGGGAGGTGTACAGTGCTTGCAATTTGTCTTTGCATCGGTTTAACTGTCTTTTAAATAATCTGCAAACAGAAGGGGTATGAAAGGATAATAAACTAGCATTCTAGCAAGTACTCCAGATCCTCTCTGTGGGAGGAAACCTGGGAAAACTTGTATCTAGATTACTGCCAATGCCAAGTTAAACGGTTGACTGTGATGCACCCCTGTCGATTCTATAGCCATCATTACACAATTCTATGAATAATTTCATTGGCTGTAGAGGTGTTTCAGAAAGATCACCTTGTTGTTGTTGTAGTTGTTGTTATGTGCCGTCGAGTCGCTTGCGACTCATAGCGACCCTATGTACAACAGCCCTAAACTCCGCTCTGTCCTGTGTCAATCGCACTGTCTCTGACACTCCCATCCCAATTATCCCAGTCACTGAATCAATCCACCTCATAGAGGGCCTTCTTCTCCTGCGCTGTCCCTCCACCCTCCCAAGCATGATGTCCCTTTCCAAGGACCGGTCCCTCCTCACATGTCCAAAGTATGTTAGACGGAGCCTCAGAAACCTTGCCTCCAAGGAGCCACCCAGTTTAACCCTTTCCAGGACAAATATGTTTTCCTAG